CCGTGCGTTCTGGTCGCTTGGCTCCTTGGTTGTAACACTCTTCGTCGGAGTGTGTAGTGGTGTTATGGACGGAGCACCACTTGGTTGCTCCCGCAGGCTTCGTCTTCTTTGCCCTATGGCCCTCCCGCTGGCGATTGGGACAGTTCCTCCTGACATGTCCCGGTTCGTTGCACTCGAAGCAGATGGGGCCAGATGTCTTGGTAGCCATGGCGAATACGCGGCCAGTGATTTGGCCCTTGGTTCTCTTGCGCATTTGCTCGTCAAGGAAGATGTTGCGCATGGTGGCTTGCATCTGTTGTACGTCGAATGATGGGTCGCGGAAAACCATCATCTTGATGTCCTTGTAGTCCTCGAAGAAACCTTGCACACAGATGTCCTTGAAGCGGTGATCGGAGATGGTTTCCTCCATTTTCTCTAGTTGAGAGCGGAGGCGGTGTTTCTTGAAAAAGTAGTCCGGGTTCTCTCCTGGCTCCATGACCGTCCTTTCGAGGTTGTCCAGTTTAACCCTGATCACTTCATTGTCACTCGATTGTAGTTGGCCTTCAGTTCCGCGAATGCTGCCTGCCCGTCGCCGCTAAGGCCGGTGTCGTCTTCGTGCTTGTGTACGGTAAGTGCAGCCGGCCGTTCGACGAGGCAGAATAGGATTGCGTAGAGGTATTCGTTTGCTCTCTCGTATGCGGCGAAGGTGGTGTCCGAGAGATCAGGCCTGCGCATTCCCTTGAGAAGTGGCATGATGTCCCTCCGAGTCAAGCCGACGACTACACCCAATTTCTTCATCCAGTCGTTGAAGTCCTCTGGTTTCGTTCCATCGAACTTGGGGAGTCCTCTGATGTCGTTGGTCAGGTTTGTGGATCCATCACTCCAGATGCCGCCTCCGCCTCCAGTTCCCGATGTTGCTTCCATTTCTGGTTTTATCCTGATGATCTCGTCTTGAATATTTTTGTTGGTGTAGTCTACTACTCAGCTATCTGTCGCTGAGATTTTTCCAGCCCCGCTCGTTCTATTGATATAGAGGACTCCGGTTGCCGATTCGTGACCCCGCTTCTGAAGCCCTTTTCTCGCTTAGATAGAAAATTGGTGAATAGAACCCCGGTTGTAGGCCAATTTGCGACTCTGCTCCTGATACCCTTTCCTCACTTAGGGAATCGGTGAATAGGACTACGATTCCCGGTCAAGTTTCGCTGTTGATACAGTCTTCCCTCCTGTCCCCGCCGCAGAAGTATTTGCTCGATGTCTAAATCGAGGCTTCCCGCGCAACACTTTGCTGTTTGTTCA